TGAGACATCGAAATATATAGTTCATCTATACATACATATAAATAAAATTGGATTGTCTGTTTATAATACTGAAATAACCATTTTTACTACATATATATGAATATAAATACGGTATATACAACAATATAACATTTTTTATAATTTTTGTCTGTCTGTCTGTCAGTTTGTTCCGCCTAATTTCTGAATGGGCTGAACCGATTTTAACGGAACTTTTTTTGGCAAATAGTTGATGTAATAAGGAGTACCTTAGGATACTTTTATTTTAGAAAAATAAAGTTCAATTCCACGCGGACGAAGTCGCGGGTACAGCTAGTTAGTAATAAAATTAATTATTCAGAACTCCCAACTTTTATAAGACTTCAAGAAAGCAACCTGCGCGTGTTGATTTTACTTTTTTATATTGAAATAAATTTCTAAAAAAAAGTAGCCTAAGTTACTCCTTATAATATTGGCTATCTGTGAGTAAAAGTGTCGTGAAAATCAGTATAGTTGTTCAGAGATTAGCAAGAACTAACAGACAGACAGATAAAGAAACAAAAAAATAATAATTAATATTTTGGCGTATGTTCTGTATACACTTACAGATACATTTATTGATTAGCTGTTAATTTGTAATTACAAACACACTTAAATTTTATTTATTTGTGCAGATGATTCTTTTTATCTTGCTTTTAGATTACTGTCTGCAACGATTTACATTCATGTCAGCCACGCACTATTTTATTAGTTACTAGCCGTATAATATTATAAACGCGAAAGTTTGTAACTCTTTCACGCAAAAACTACTGAATGGATTTTGATGAAACTTTACAGTAATATAGATTATGCATCAGAATAACATATAGGCTAGTATTTTCTTGAAATTAAAGGGCGGGCGAGCAGGGATGAATGAAAGAGAAAAACATATTACGTCGACCACAAATAAATGGGATAAGGAAGAAGCAGATGATCATGCGACTCATTCTACGATCCAAGTCTGCGAATAGACTTGGTTCGTAGAATGATTCGCAGACTTGGTTCGTAGAACAGCGCGGGATGCTGTGAGACAAGTTTTAATAATCTCGCTCGGTGGAGACACCGTCGGAGCAGTCAGTGGTCGATGGCGGCGTTACCGCGGCGTGGTGGGCGCCACTGACGGTACCACCTCCCCGACCAGCTCGCGGAGCTTGTCCAACGTGAGAGTGTTTATCTCGTGCACGCCCAGCACCAGGTCGTAACTGCGCTCCAGGGTCTGCTTGATCTCTGCACTCATCAGCGAGTCCAGCCCCAGCTCTGCGAGGGTTGCCGTTGTCGATGTTTTGCTAGGGTTGTCGATTCCTGTGTAGTTTTTAAAATAGTATATAAATATTCTATTTGATTAGAGCTAGAGAGAAGTTCTCGTTCGTGTCGTCGACTTGGTCAAATCTTCCATTTATTGAACAATGTTTAAATAGATGTAAAAATAACCTTTATTCATATACAGCTTACTAAAGAAAACTGTCGCGGGCACAGTTAGTAAGATATATATTTGAACCAGCTGCTACCGCGACTTCGTCTGTGTGGAATTTATTTTTATTTTTCTAAAATAAAAGTAGCCTAAAGAACTAAAAATTATTTTGTACGTCTTAATTTATTAATTCCATTAAGTACTGTTCGAACTAATATATTTACATCCTGTATCATCCTTTATTTTATCCCCATGGGGGTTGAATTTATCAATATCCTATTTAAGCGAACGTCTTCATCATAGTAGCTCCAATCTTTAATTTCAGTTCAATCAGTCGAAAATGTAAGAAGATTTATACAAACTTTCATCAAACAGATGGTGGATGGGAGGTGGAATTTATCAAAATCCTTTCTTAGGAGATGCCTACGTCATAGTAGCTTTATGAGTCTCAGCCCGATCGGTTTAAAATTGACAAAGTTTCATACCCTATTTTATCCCCTTGGGGATAGAATTAATCAAAAAAATCCTTTCTTAACGGACGCCCACGTCATAACATCTACCTGCATGCCAAATTACAGCCCGATCCCTCCAGTGGTTTAGGCTGTGCGTTGACACACAGATCACTATGTCAGTCACGTTTGAGTTATATATATTTAGACTTCATCATACAGTCCATTTTTATTGAAGATCCCTTAGGGTCCATCTAAACTTCGAGTTGTATGACATACCGAGTATATTAGCGATGGTGGATACAACGTTTTGTTGCGGCACCGCAGGTCCGCGTCGCTTGTCAGCCAGCACCATGGCGGCGACCACGGCGTGGGGCTGTGACATCGCACCATTCAGAGTTTCCATACACGAGGAAATACGCTGCGGCACCGTGCCGCAAACTACCGTCTCGTCCCCCCCAGACATCGTCTCCATGACCAGACCCACGTCACCTGTAAAAAGAGACAATATAGAAAGAAAGAAAAATTTGTTTCACCTAAGTGCCGTTTGACGAAAGTTAGTAATTGTTGACTGTAGTCAATTTGCCAGAAAAAAGGATCAAATGGTTTCTAAAATATTTTTTTTGTAAAAAAAGTTCTCTATAAAAAAGCTTATTATAAAATTAAAGAATTTATAAATGATAATGTGTTTGTAAAAAAATATCTCAACTTAAAATTCATAGCGCTGACAATGTTATCTGATTGAACAGAGATCAAATGCTTAGCGGTTTCTATATTGATTGTCGCATGCCTAATCCTTGTTAATGTAAATCTAAAACAATATTTATTTAAAAGAGCAACACACAAGTTTCTTGCTCGTTCTTCTTGTGATGAAACAGCTTTCCGAATGAGCGGTAGATTAAAAAAATGTTATGACTATTCAAAATTGCTTAAATTAAGTTTATTTATTTAGAATAAAAGATTATCTATTCTATAAAAATAATAGTATTGTAATCAAATGCCAGGCGAAAACGTACCTATAGCGCCCCACTGCACAGCGAGTCCGGGCAGGCCGTCGGCTATCCGCTGTTCGCAGATACGTTCCATGACGGAGTTGGCAAATCCGTAGTTACTCTGTCCAGGGTTCCCGCGTCCACATGACACCGACGAGAACACCACGAAGTGGTCCAGCTGCGGGGCCAGCTCTCGTGTCGCCGCGTCCAGCGCCCGCGTGCCTGCACAGTTCATACAAAAGTATATAGAATCTACCTTTACATTACACGTTTTTTTACGCGCAATCAGGATGGTATCCGATATACCGGAGTATTTGCGCGCGCACGCAATCGTGATTGTTATTTTCTGATTGATATTGATATTATCGTTTGGAAAAAGTCAATAGGTCTTTTATGGGAATAGGTATAAAAATTTACAATAAGATACCAAAGGATATATTGGAATTACCCTTAAATAAATTCAAAACATCTGTTAAATCATATTTACTGAGCAAGGCCTATTACTCACTAAACGATTACTTGAATGACGAGCGTGCATGGCAATAGTTTTCATGTTCGGGATTTTTATTTGATGTTGGACATAGACACCTATATAAATACCTATGCATTGTAAATAAACTGGATTTAAAAAAAAAGTAATTCAATTGAGTTTCTTGCCAGTTCTTCTCAATTGGATCTATATACCGAACTGGACGGTAGGGAAAAAAAATATAATGTCAAAACTTGACGTTCATAAGCGGCTAAAGTGTCCTACATCAATAAATGATTTTTGAATTTGAATTTGATAAAGTTTGTATCTATTTGTTATCTCCATTTGTTCCAACGCGATTGCACGTGTGTTTCATGTAGGGGTTAAATTTTAATTTTCATATTATTCAACCTTCATTTTCGGTAGACTTAACGTGCTATCGTCGTCATCGATCTCTTACAGCCTCGGTGGTCTAGTGGTTTCGCATACCGCTTTACTATCCGATGGTCGTGAGTCAATTCCTCACACGGCACAAACATTTGTATTCATGAGTATGATTGTTTGTATCGGTCTGGGTGTTTTCTTTGTATAATATGTATTTATTTACAAAAAAATGTATCCATGTATTTCTATCAGTTGTCTAGTACCCATAACACAAGCTTTAGCAAGCTTAACTTGGGTCTAGATGGCGCTGTGTGAATTGTCCTGAAATATTATATTATTATTATAAATTTACTACTGAAGGCTATAACAGAATAGCAGAGAGGCTGGCTGGACTCATTGCCCCCCTCTGAGTTATAGACCGCTTTGTTTACTTCATTACTTTTAAATTTTATTATTGTATGGGCAGAAATTGTATTAGTTTGTGTTTGAGACAAATAAAGATGATTATTATTATTATTATTATTAATTAACATTAAGAAATTAACGGAAAATCTGTAATTAGGTCTTTGCTCATATGTTTCTAGTCCGCCATTTTGAAGAGATAATTATTTATTACAAAAACGCGCGAAATCACGCACTGCACACACACATAGAGCACGTCATTTTACCCATTAGGTACTTACGATGTTTGGTTTTTAGATATCTGTGATAGTTCCTAATTAATCGCCAGCGCACACTTAACGATTACACCCTGTATATCTACTGATATACAAATAGGCAGCACCATTGACTCACCGTCCACTTTAGCTTTAGCAACAGTTTTGAAGTCTTCTGGTGTGAGGTTTTCAAGAAAGGCGTCGCGTAGTACAGCAGCCAGGTTGAACACGCCGCCGACTGGGCCCAGCGTGGAAGCTTCGTCCAGCAGCGCGCGGACACCGCCAGCAGTGGTCGCGTCCGCCTGAGACACCGCTACCATCACGCCTGCCTCTCGCCACCTGCACACCACTAGACGATTCAAAACTCTCCGTCAACCGTGCGACCCATGTTCCACCACTGTATGAGTCTGCTGTGACCCACACAATCTGGATGCTATGATGTGTTAATGATAAGTCCGGGCTACTTTCCATGATGATTAAGTACACGATGATGGATTGGGTACTGATGCTTCCTTATGAGTATTTGGTGTACTGAAGGGAAAATGGTATGTGTGGGCGTTATATGGACACGGAGCGGTGTAAAATGCTGACGGCTGTACGTACCGTACAACCAGTTACCACCCGTTACCTGCGGATGCACATGGACTGGTAGCCGGTGCGGACGCCGCTGCGGGAGTTCAGCACGATCCGCGTGGCGCCGCGCACCACCAGCCACTGCGCCAGCTCGAGTCCGAAGCCGCCGAGACCACCTGTGCAGAAAATAACTTACTAAGATCGACTACCTTCAATACAGAATAGAATAGAATAGAAAATCCTATATTTAAATAAACTTAATTAGCACTTTTGAATAGTTCTTTTGTTAATCTACGGTTCATTTGGAAAGCTGTCTCATCACAAGAAGAACGAGCAGGAAACTTGAGTGTTGATTGCAGCACGGGCTTTTTAAGAAAGGTATATTAAAATTACTTAAGGTTCAGCAACGCTTTCGTGACACTCCTGGTATTTAAGGCATCCATAGGCTACGGTAACCATTTTCCATCAGGTGGGCCTCGTATATTTGATTGCCACCGTCGTGGTATAAAAAATATATACCACTTACCTACTAATACGTAACTCTTGGTGGGGTGCAGGTACGTGCGTGGGATGGCAGATATCAGTTTAGGAGCAGGTCGCGACGCAGCACCCTCTTCCTCTCGTATACGTAACAATACTTTACCGACGTGCTTTCCAGTTGCCATATATCTGGAAATAAACGTAAACTTCAATCGATATCTGGGATGGAAATTTTAGTAATTGTACATAATCTACGTTTGTACATTGCAGAATTCTCCTCCTTGGCTGTAAATAAAAAATACATTGAGAACCAGATAATTGGGATAATGTAAACCACGTGAACCGAAGAAGGAACAGAAGTAGTGCAACAGCACGATGGAGATTCGAGATGCCGTCAATCGAAATATACAGTCAGCGATATACTTGGTACAAAATAGATGTACCTGGAGAGTAGTGGTCTGAAGAAAGAATGCTAGTGGTACTTTCAGCCTTGAGGAATCGACTAAGAATAAAAAGAAATACATAAAAGCTTAAGTTCAACCGCTTGTCTGGCCAACGGGCTAGTTGTAGTCTAATCATTCTCGTATAGGGACAAAATCAATTGCATCAATTATTTAAAAACTGAGAAATTAAAGAATGCGCGTGTACCGGAATGCCTGCTCGAGCTGGTGGTCGTGGTAGACGGTGGCGGGCAGCGGGCGGACGGCGCCGCTGGCGATGCCCTCCGTCATGCAGCGCACCACCGCCGCCTTCTCCGCGTCCTCGGCCGACGCCTCGAACAGCGCGTCCAGCAGGATGCCGTGGAATGTTGTGTTCTTCAGGAAGATTGACATACCCTAACAATGAAGAATTGAATTATATATTATGGACAACTTCACGATGCATTGACTAGAAATATGTACTTTATTTAATTTGCATTCTTTGTCTTTTTTTTGAAATTGGAATGGCAAAGAGCTGAATATTTTAACATTAAAACACGCTGAACTCGAGCCCGAGTATACACTCCTACAAGAGCACCACGTATTAATCTAACGCACTATACGTGTTTTAGGGTTATATTACCATAGTACAAAAATAAATTAAACAGTTTTAGACTTTTTTGTTTAAAAAACTTTATTAAAATATTTGGATTAATCTTGATTATACTAACAAGAGAAGAATTATTGGAGAGGTCTAGCTTGCCGATCTCAAGGAAGCGGCCGCCCTCGGCCAGACAGCGCACGGAAGCCAGCAGCATGTCGGCGGCGAGCGAGTTGAGTATGAGATCGACGCCGCGACCGTCGGTCTGCTGCAACACCAGCTGCTCGAAGGAGGTGTCGCGCGAGCTGCCGACGTGGTCGTCCCGCAGCTGCGGGAAGCGCTCGCGCAGGAAGGCGCGCTTGTCGGGCGTGCCCACCGTCGCGAACACGGTGCAGCCGGCGTGCAGCGCGATCGCGATGGCGGCCTGCCCCACGCCGCCGGTGCCCGCGTGCACCAGCACCGCCTCCCCGCGCCGCATGCGCCCGCGCACCGCCAGCGCGTAGTACGCCGTCGCGTACGCCACCGGCACCGTCGCCGCCTGCTCGAGCGACCACGCCGCGGGCACCTCCCACAGGAACCCCGAGTCGGCCACCACGCTGGTCGCCAGCCCGCGCGCTGCCACCATGCCCATCACGCGCGCGCCCCGCGACGACCGCCCGCTGAACTCCAGCCCCAGGATACACTCCTGCACCGAAACGTGACGTAATTAAAGTAAAGGAAATATGGTATTTTGTAAAATGTGAGGGGTCATCTAATGTGTACCTGCCCAGCAAGATTTCCCGGCAACGCGTCGGGCGGTAACTTGCCAGTAGCCAACATAATGTCGCGGAAGTTCAGTGGCGCGTAGTAGACGCTGCACAAGTCCGTATGCGCGGGCCACTGTTTCTCGCTGGCGTAACGCAGGGGACTTTCGATCCAACGGAGCGACGATAGGTCACCGCGAGTCAAAGTATTGACATATGCATGCTCCACCTGTTGTAGTATAATAAGATTATAATGTAATATACATAGAATTGTTAGAGCATCCATTCCCGAGTATAGGTGAAGACTGATACCTGAATTCGCGCATCGGCAGCGTCGCCGAGCAGCAGGTGCCTGTATGAGCCCCAGACGCCGGCGCGCAGCACGTTGACGGCCAGGTCCTTGCGCAGCTGGTCCGCGAAGTGGGGCGCGGCGGGCTGGAAGGGCTCGCGGCAGTCGGGCAGATAGAAGACGCGCAGCGCGCGGCCGCCCGGCTCGGCGCGCAGGCACGTGCCCAGCCCCAGCACGCCGCCGCCGGCCGCGCGCGACACCGCGTACACGCGCAGCTCCGCGGCCGCGCTCTCGGCGCGCTTCAGCGCCGCGCGCAGCGGCTCCACCCAGCCGTACGAGCGCTCGTCCTCCACCTCCACCACCACGTGCTCGGCCGGCGGCGGGACGCGCCGCCGCAGCACCAGGTACTCGCAGTCGGCGGTCGCCTGCCGCGACACCACCTCGAGGCCGGCCCGCTCCGCCGCCGCCGCCCCCAGCGCGCCGTGCGCCTCCTCCACCAGCACCATGCCGCCGTCGGCCAGCGCCTCCGCCAGCCGGCCCAGCACCTCCGCACTGTCAGGCGACGACGCCACGCCGCCCGCCACCACCAGATGGCACTCGCTGTCCGGCGCGCACTCGCTCGCGTCCTTCGATGTCACCTGAAATATTTAATAAAATAGTATGTCAGTATATATCTTGAACAGTAACTGATGAATAACTTCATTACTAATAAATCTGTATAAATCCTTAGAATAGTCGTGATTACTTTTATGAATGGTATCCAAACAATTAACAATTTACCTTTACATCGAGTTCTTGAAGAGCCGCCGCATAGTATGCAGACATACTGCCAGCAGCCAAACTGGCTTCGAAGCGTACCTGCGGCTCGCTGTCCAGTATCTGTAAAGCCTGTGGTGTTATTAACGCCTCCACGGGTCGACCCAACACTGCCTCCGTGATTCTTAAATTCAACGTAAATACATTCTCTAAAACTAACTGCAAGCTGACCGTTAAAGCCTCATGCTTTGTGAGCAATGGTTTTTTGGTACTAATGTCATTCTCAATATATGGCACAAAAGTATATCTTTCTAATTTTGGCTGTGACTGCATATTTATACGTCGAGGTGCGAGATTCATCTTGATCCCTCGAAATTCAAAACCACCACAGTTCACTGCTCTGATATTTCCATTACGATGCAACAACAACTTCCCAACGCCGTCTCTAACTGCTCGATGAGCCATCGGGTCAAAGAGAGCGCGTTGTATACGTGTAGGTAAAAATAACTGACGAGATTTCATGCCGATGACTTCAAATTGTACCATTGCGTCGGTAAAGGTGATCCAACTGTCATTCCAGGCAAGTTCTCCTTTAGTGCCTCTCGGATCAGAACTAAGAATACTACGGAATACGCCACTATAATTGTATCCCCGAAGACGGAATTCTTTGTATATGTCGTTAGTGTCTAGAGATAGTAGGTTTGGTTCATCAGCAGTTGCAAAAAATGGCGTTTGTAGTCGGTCGGCAGACGGTTCTTTTGCAAGTCGCACTTTACCTGTTACAACGACACTGCTTCCCTCACATACATCAAAGTCACCGGTACCATCTAAAATGTTTATTAGAAACCGAACAGGAGTGTTTCTCGTTATTATGGTTGCCTGTTTAAATTCTAAGTCTTCAAAAACAACTGCGGTCTCCTCGAGTTTTTGGTTGTGAAGTTTAGCTACGGTACGCCAAACGAGGACCTGAAAATGATGACAGTGGAAATTAGATTGGATGTAATCAAATAATAGCATACAGAACTATTTACACTAAGTTCACTTACCATGTATCCAGTAGCAGGGAAAAGTACTCGACCATCAATGTCGTGTCCTGCTATGTAGGCGTCCTCAGCTCGTGACAGATCAACTTCGACGATGTTCTCGCCTGAGCGCGATACGGTGCCGAAGTGTGCAACATTCCACTCGATGGAGTGGTCCCAGCGGACATGTGAGGCCAGCCCCGGCGTGCCGCGCGACACGGGCCACGTAACCGCGGGATAAAGCCGCCCAGCAGCTGGTTGCGCTCCCGCCGCGTACATTCTGTTGTTTACAACTACGTCGGTGATGAAGAGTTTATTGACAAGAGTTGATACATTATTTATAACAAACAGCGCATACGGCACTTTATAGATAGTTACATATAGCATGATATAATTTCAATATTTAGAATTTTAGAAGAACGAGACATCATCAAACACTCATCCTCATCATCATCATCATCATCAGTAGGATAACTACACATCACTACATCAACAACCAAACCGTCGCTTCCAAGCAATATTTTTTTAGGTCTCTGAACTACTCACACATGTTAATGCCATGCACATGGAATTAAAGAAACTACAACATTAAATATAAGCGAACGCTTCCGATTATGCCTCATCTGTCACATTATGATACGCAGTTTCAATTAAAATTTACATCCAAACAAATCAAAATTATAATTCTCATTTTTGCTCGTCGTAGTCGCCAAAAAATAAACGACGTTATAGCACATTAGCCTTTTATGCAAATGTGTGTACCTCAAGGGTGTAATCTTGGTCCATCTGGTCTGTATGGACGATCCATTTTATTAACCAAGACATACATTAAGATTTCACCGAAACAAACATTTCAATAATATTTTTTCTTTTCTATTTTGGTGATACATTATATTTAAATCCTTGAACATCTTTCCTGTTCAAATATTTTATGTGCCTTCTAATCTCAATGCCATATACATCACGCTTTAATCAAAATATATACTGCTGGCAGAAGATATCTCACATAAACATCTATGTGTAAAGTCTTCCTCTGTTGCTTGAAATTTTTCAATTTGCAATACTATTGCAAATTGAAAAATTTGCAAGATTATACAAGAGTCATAACCAAAATGGACCTCTCTTAAATTCTATATTTATCCAATAGAAAGAAAACGATACTATTTGAATTTCAGAAGTGCTGCCAACTCTAAAATTGCTAAAATTTTTGGTAGAAACGCGCCTTTATACTAACTTGCCGATGGCGGAGAGCAAGTAGAGCAGGGTGTCGGGGTGGTCGCGACGAACGAGAGCCACGTGCGCGGCGGCCGCGGGCAGCGCGCGCTTCAGCACCGCCTGCAGCAGCGCGTGCGGCGCCACCTCCACCACCAGCGCGCGCGCCGGCACCGCCGCCAGCGCCTCCGCGAACAGCACCGGCGACACCAAGTTGTTCACTTGGTACTCCGCGCTGCTCAGTTTCGCTGTTAACATAATATATGCTCATTAAACATACCTTTTCTGGCATTCATCTTGCATGGTTTTCTTGTAAATCTTAACTACTTTATTATAGACACAGTATTTCTATAAATTAAAATTGAACTAGCGATTTAAAACAAGCAAGCGAACTAATGAAACTATGACATGGTAAGTATTATAAATCAGTAATTTAAATATTTACCGAGCTCTGAGTTCCACTGGTCCTTGGGTACAGAGGTGGAGATCCACCGCGCAGATCTTGGTTTCGGATTAGGAATTACGGCTCCGAACCGCGTGCGCAGCAGCGGCACAGCCCCCGTGACATACTTGCTGTGGAATGCCATACCGCTGCTATTGATACGCCGCGCGAACACACCGTCCGCGTTCAGTTCTGCCACGAACCTCTCAATTGATGGCACGGGGCCGGACACCTAAAATAATAACAAAACTTTAAAATATACGAATGGCAAAATATCACCAGTTAGGAACATGGAAAGTTTTGATGCATGACGGATTCCATAATGAGTGGATTCCCCACAGAAAAAAAATGAATATCATTAGGGCAATAATAGCTGCACTAACTTGGAAATAAGCCACAATTAAATAGGATACGTACGGTGACACTGTCCGCGGCGTTGTGGCAGGCCGGCACGACGTCGGGCGGACAGCGCTCGACGCACTGCTGCCACGTGAGGCCGACGGCGGCCATCGCGCCCGGCGGCAGAACAGCGTCTACGATGCTGCGTCCGCGCCAGTACGCCAACAATACCGCCTGTTCCACCGTCAGTGTCTCGTCTGCGTACGCGCAACCTAAATGTTTATGTAAAAAATAATACATTTCCAAAGATAATTATTACAAATTCGTATAATAAAAAAAGTCTCACAAGTCCTATGAACTAAAAAAAAACGAAAAGTATGTACAGTTAAAAAAAAATATATTGGTGTAATCTACATAAAACGGGAATTGTTTTTAAAAAATCACTTCAGCCAATAGAGCACTATTTCGCTGTATGGCATACTTGTAAACGTTGATTAAAATTTTCGCAATACATACGTATGAATTAGTCTCCTCGAACTTATGAACCCAATTTTTAATCGTTTGAATACGAGGACAGTCATTAAATCTGCGTAATTTCCGATGTTCTCAATGTACTATACCGTCGCTGACAGTGATCAGGTAATCTTTCCAACTTGTGCTTTGTGTTTGCTTTTAACTACCAAATCGATTTGGAAAGATTATTTGTTGTCTCTACATAGTTATGTACTTATCTATAATAATGTTTCTAGTTGCTTAATAGAAGTCGAATGCTTGAAATAAAGTTGATATAGAAATAAGATGTGTATGCATCTAACTAACCAAGTTCCCCGGCAGAGTGTCCAATAATGCCATCAGGTCGAATGCCAATCTCCCTCAGCACATCTACAAGCGCCACTTGCACGGCCGTGATGGATACGAATGAATAAACAACGTCCTCAAATGCAGACTCCGGCGCCTCCGTTAGTATATAGAGCAGGTCGACGCTGTGCGGGCGCAGTGCCGCGGCTGCGCGCTCTATGGTGGCTGCGAAAGTCGGCAGACCCATCAGCTTGCACCCGCAGCCTGCCCACTGCGAGCCCATGCCCGAAAAGACGAACCAGATCGGTCGCGGCTCGCTGCTGTCTAATTGCTGTAAGCAAATGTTATGTTTTATCAATTTTTCAGTTTTATCAACACATTTTATGGGTCACAGTAACGCCACAACAGAGGTGACCCCGACGTGATCTGATCAGGGATCTCTCCAAGGGAGTACCTTTCTATACACAGGGGAGAAGTTGTTAGGGGAAGGGAGCTGTTCTAAATCTCACATCCCCACCTTGTTGGGACCCATAATCTTATTAGCTGGGGTAAGCTATTGGTCAATTCATGCAGACATTATTGTTCAGGCGCTGTGTCGTCATTATCGGGCTTAAGCGCCACTTGTCAGGCCCACGAGAGGTCATATACGAGTTTCAAAGACCGCCAAGGATTTCAGTTCGCAATCGAAGTAACTGTGTCCCATACATTTCAACAAACATTTGGACGCGATTAAAAACTCACGAGGATCTCCTGCACCGGGGGGTCAGCGAGCACGGCGTAGCCGCGATGCGAGTGGCCGGGGATGGCGCGTGCGTGCACGGCGTCGAGCAGCGCGTGCAGGTCGGCGTTGGAGGCGTGCTCGGCGGCGTGCTCGAGCAGCGCGCGCACGGCGGGCTCGGTGCGGCCCGACGCGACCACCAGCCGCGGCAGCGCGTACGGCGCGCGTGCACTCTCACGCTTGCCGTGCGCGCGCTCCGACTCCAGGATCACGTGCGCGTTCGCGCCGCCGAACCCGAACGAGTTCACCGCCACCAGCCCGCCCTCCCACGGTGTGTTGCGGTCCACCACCTACCACAGATTATAAAAAGACAGATTAGAAAAATATTGGATAATATAATATATTTCAGAATAATTCCTTAAATTGACTAAAAATATGATTTACCTTGATTCTTCCGTCAGCCAGGCTAGGAATATCAGGATTGGGTATGTTGTAATGCAAATTTCCAGGTATGACGCCCTTCTCCATGGCGACCAATACCTTAGCTATAGAACACAGGCCTGACGCAGCTTCGGCGTGGCCCATGTTAGACTTCACGGAACCCAGCAACAGCGGAGTTTTCCGATTCTTACAAAATAGTTCAGTCACAGCATTAACCTCCTGTGGATCACCCGCCTGCAATACAAATTGTTTCGTACTTATTACCAATCAAAAGGCTATTTCTGAGTCCTTGTTATTCACGAACATATACATATACTAATCCGATTTTATCGCGGTTCGTCCGAGGACACCGTACTAATTATAATTAGATTGTATATGTATAAAATAAAAAAATGAAATTATAAAAACTTTCTGAATAATTCTTCTCAATAATTACTTACTTTTGTACCTGTGCCATGAGCCTCGACATACGCGACGTCCTGCGGCCTGAGTCCCGCCTCCCGGAACGTCTCGGCGGCGAGCTGCCGCTGCATCTCTCCGGCGGGGTAGGTGATGCCCTGCTCCTTGTGGCCGTCGGTGTTCATGCGCGCGCCGCGCACCGTGGCGTACACGCGCCGCGCGTGGCCGCGCTTCTGCAGCAGCACCACCACGGTGGCCTCCGAGCGCACGTACCCGCGGCCCTCCGCGTCGAACGCGGCGCACCGGCCCTCCGGCGACAGCATGCTCAGTCGGTGGAAGTTGAGAGATGTTCCAGGTTTGAGACAGACGTTGGCACCAGCCACGACTGCAGCATCGCAATGTCCCGCTCTTATTGCTCCCACAGCTTGAGCGAGTGCGAACAGAGAACTCGAGCATGCTGTGTCGATGGCGTAAGAGGGTCCTTTTAAGTCGAACGTGTAGGATATTCGGTTAGCGAACATAGTGCGCCAACAGCCAATGATGCCGTATCCGTCGACCTTATCTGGTTCGAGTGTCCATATTTCATCGGTTTCGGAGTTGGAGACGCCAACAAAAACACCGGTGCGTGTGCCTCGCAGCTCGGTCGGGTTCAGGCCGGCGTCCACGATCGCCTCATACGTCACCTCGAGCAGTAACCTCTGCTGTGGATCCATGACGTGTGCTTGTTTTGCGTGGACGCCAAAAAAAGTGGCGTCGAAATGTGCCAAACTTTTGATTTTTCCATTTCGTTCTGGTAGTCCATGGAGACCTGTAGATATAATTAATTAGCCAATGGTAATTCAGGAAATAATTACCTTAACGTTAACAACTAGAACTTTAGACATCTCTTAGTCTACCTCTAGAAGTTTCATGTGCAGTTTAGCAGGCAGATGCTTACAAATTTGTTTTGTAATGCGTAAGAATATTATGCCAGGTACGCTGATTATAATCTCAAATTATTATCTCAACTCTTTCTATAACTGATTATAATCATTTTAACATCATAAACACTGGAAACAACTTTAATATACTCCTGCAGTAGAGTTCGTAGGGATGCTAGTCGTTCATATTTAAAGATATCAAAATTGGTAAGTCCTTCACAATTCAAATATATAAAAGAGAAGTCTCAAATACCGGGCGTCCAACGTCTGTCGTCGGCTGTGACGAGGTCCACTCCATCGAACAGCTTCTGTGCGAACTCTTCTATAGTATCCGACTCGGGCAGACGGCCCGAGAGACCTGAAATTACCAAGTCTGTGTCGGAACTGTCTCTCTTCAACCCGTTCACCACCGCCGAACCACCGGTCGGCATATCTGTTAAACAATTTAGTATTAATAGTATCACTAAAGAGTTAAACTTCAAGGGACAATACCAGGAAAGTAGACTATTCCATCAGCCGAGAACCAATATGTCTTCCGTCCCAATGCCACACCTGATATTTAATAATGATGAAATAATGTATCCCAGATTGGGTACTCAGAAGCGCGGTCAGCCGTACACGTTCTGCTGATGGATCATTTGACAAACCACAGGCATTGCATCATTAAAAATCATCGGACGATTAACAATTTTTAATTGACACTTTTTTTATTGATTTCGTTATCATCAGATGATTATCTATAATATAATTCGGAGCAGAAGGCCATCATTCTCTTAATATACTAACATAAAAAACATGAACACATTCTTCGTGTTATTGTTTTTTCACTTCGCTCATAAAAATTAACCATTGCGTCCCATTGTGAATTTTTGTTATTTATTAGGAAAGTACGTTCAATAATAAAAAAATCAAGAATACATCTAGGGTTACCACTCGAACTTTATAATAAAGTATTATTTCAGGTAATTGTACTCTATACTTTATATGAATAATAAAGTACACGGTAATTCTTTATTTTTTGCATGATTTGATTCTTGAAAAGTTTAATCGTATGTATCTTCTTATTAAGCGAAATTTATCAATTTAAATAAAGACTGTAACAATGCTGTGCAATTATTTTGTAGAGATACTAATTTGATACAAACTGCAAAAAGAAATTAAAAATATGTTTTTAATGAAGAATTTTAATGAAGAAAACCAAACTGTACTTTATTTTTATACTACGTACTTTTTTCTTACCTATAACCAATGTAATTATTTTATATAATTATTATAATTAACTGTAAAAAAAAGGTGGCAACCCTAAATACATTGTTAATTTATTGTAAAATAATATAAAATGTAGCTAGGAGTATATATAATGAGTGTCGCCGAAACACGTTACACAACAGTAACAATGTGAAGATTTTTTTCTGTCAACACTATTACACCATTGTTTTCGTTACTTTTAGAGATCTTTCTATTGTTAGTCGAATTTCCGTTACCTAAGTATCAAAATGTTCGGTACTACTAAACCCGCAAGATGCCGTCAAAATGCGATTTGAAAGGAAAGTTGTTGAGTATAGGTAGTGTAGGACTCCGTGGCATCCAACGTCATATATACCGGATACAAATAACGAACAATGAACCTTGAACGCTGCGACCTTTATATAGTACAATACGCACGCAGACTCTAACATATATCGCAGTGAAAATATAAGTAAAAATGTATTGTTTTGTTTCAGTGAAGTAACAAAGTCCTTAGCCTATCACGGACGGCGGCAAATACACGATCATCGAGGCGGCCGCGTGGTTCCGTCCGTCCCTTACAAATTTATAGCAATGCGACAGACTGTCTAAATTGCTCTAAATCATTACATAGTGTAAAACAAAGTCGCTGTCGCTGTCGCTGTCTGTCCCTATATATGATTTAAATCTTTAAAACTACGCAACGGATTTTTAAATAAAAGTTTTTTTAATAGATAGAGTGATTCATGAAGAATGTTTATATATATAATACATGTACATCCGTGCGAAGCCGGGGCGACTAGCTAGTAAAATACAAATACATTTGGTATCACACACAAATGGTATATGGCAAAGGTCACCAATATGAATAGCACCTCACACTCGAAACATCACGTGACGTTTGTGGTGCTATATAACTATGCATTGCCATTCCAGAAGCCTAAGTTGTCACGCCTGCGTAACTTGTAAGTTATGTGCCTTAAAACAGGATTAGTTAGTTATGAAGGTCTGGCAGTAGCTTAGTTTGTTTTACAAATCGTGTCAACATATTATACGAGTATAGTTTAGCCCTGGTTTTCTAAACTAAATAAATTTAATGTTACGGATTAAATTTATTTAGTTTAGAAAACCAGGGCTAAACCTTACAATGCAGCAAAAAAGTAATACACATACACATAGACTTTCAACAAAATCTATTTTGGTAATAATGTTCCTTAGCGTAAACGTAATATTTTTAATTGAGTTATAATAGAGAACAGCCTCGTGACTTTTACAAATTCAAATTCAAAATATCTCTATTCATGTAGCTCTATTACAGACTCTTATGATATGTCAAATCTGCCGTCAGTTCGGAATGATTTCGAGATGAGAAGAACTGACAAGAAACTCAGCTCGTATTCTTTTCAAATAAATGTTGTACATGTTTACAATAATATAGATTCATTTAAATTCAAATTTGGGAGAATAGAGTGACCACCAGTATATGCTATTGCAAAAGCAAATACAGTGGACCTGCGGTAATCCGGCCCCTGTCTAATCCGGCCCCCCTTGTAATCCGACATTGTCTATTATTTGTTATTGAATATTACTTTGACAATATACTTCAGAGTGCATATACATACATACATATATAACATAGAATCTTATCACTGGATCTGTAATTTGTCGGATTACAAGATACTCTTTTGTAAAAAATTCCGGACTATAAGCAGGGGACCCTTAAGCAGCACTCTATAATCCGACAAATACGATGGTCCGACACTGCCCTGGAAAACGTTTGTCGGATAACCGGGGTTCCACTGTATGTATATAATATAAAGAATCATCATTGGATCTATAATTTGTCGGATTACAAGGTACTCTTTTGTAAAAAAATTCGGACTATAAGGGGTCTTAGGCAGTATTCTATAATCCGACAAATTCGATAGTCCGACACTGCCCTGCAAAATGATTGTCGGACTACCGGGGGTCCACTGTAGTCTACAGTAGGTAACTTCAATGCTCGAAGAAGTGTGCAGCAAAAAAAAGGTTTTATTTATTCACAACAGATAGCACATTACATAAGTATTACAAGTTGTTAAACAAGCAGCTACTAGTAAATTTCATGTACAGTTTCCAATAACTAGATGTCATTACAAATATACGCCATAAAAAAAATAGGTGAAGTTCGAGTCACACTCGCGCACCATATATATTATACTGTATACATATAAATAAAATTGGAGAATAAATATTATATATAAATAAATGCATAATGATCCGATAATCAAATTTTAATAAAAATAAATTATTATGTTCCCGCAATTTCTGTTTAGACGAATTTATTACATTATTATATATATATTAGGCATACGACTAGCCTTATGACTGTTACTTTTTTTAATCTATACATATAAATACAACGTAACAATAACAAACTGATTTTACCTAAATGTCGTTTGGCTAAAGTTAGTAATTCGTTTTATGGCAATTGCGTAAGGTTTTACAATAAAATACCAGAGTCTGTTATAAATCTGCCAGAAAAAAGATTTAAATGTCAAATAAAACAGTTCCTTTGCAAAAAAGCTTACTATAAAATTGAAGAATTCGTTAACGATAATAATGTTTTTATAGAAAAACTTTAAATCTATAGCACTGACAATATTATCTGATTACATTAATAATGAGTGCGTAGCGACTTCTATGTTGATTATCGCATGCCTCTTACTTGTTATACTGTAATTATTTATATAAAAAAAAACATCTATTAAAAAGAGCAACACACAAGTTTCTTGCTCATTCTTCTTGTGATGAATCTGCATTCCGAATGAGTGGTAGAATCAAAATATGACTATTCAAAAGTGCTTGTAATGAGTTTATTTGAATAAAGATTATTTCTATTTCTATTTCTATTTCTAAATAAAATTGAAGTGTCTGTTTGTAATACTGAAATAACCGTTTTTACTACATGCATGTAAATATAAATAGGGTAGATACACCAAAATAACATTTTTTACAATTTTTGTCTGTCTGTCTGTCGGTCTGTTTGTTCCGGGTAATCTCTGAAATGGCTGAACCGATTTTGACGAGACTTTTTTGGCAGGTAGCTGATGCAATAAGGAGTAACTTAGGTTACTTTTATTTTAAAAAAATAAGATAAAATTACACGCGGACGAAGTCGCGGGCACAGCTAGTAAATATAATCTCAGAACAATTTACACAGCGCCATCTAGACCCAAGTTAAGCTAGCTAAAGCTTGTGTTATGGGTACTAGATAACTGATACATATACATAGTTTTTTTTGTAAATACATACATATTATACATAGAAAACACCTAGACCGATATAAACAATCATACTCATGAATACAAATGTTTGTGCCTTGCGAGGAATCGAACCCGTGACCATCGGCCGTAAAGCGGTGTGCTAGACCGCTAGACCACCGAGGTCGTTACTAATTTGTTTTATTGTCTTTGTAATGTAATTTATTTATTTAACTACAATGCACATAAACAATCTAAATATATATAACTCAAATGTGACTGACATAGTGATCTATCAACGCACAGCCCAGACCACTGGACCGATCGGGCTGAAATTTGGCATGCAGGTAGATGTTATGACGTAGGGTGATGAGGGATGCTAAGAAAGGATTTTGATTAATTCTACCCCCAAAGGGATAAAATAGGGGATGAAAGTTTGTATGAAACTTTGTCAATTTTAAACCGATTAGTCTGAGACTTTGCATACATGAAGGTACTATGACGTAGGCATCCCCTAAGAAAGGATTTTGATAAATTCCACCCTTAAGGGGATAAATTAAAGCGAGCAGAGCCGCGGGCAAAAGCTAGTGTTTACATATAGCGGACTTAACTCGCGGAATCAACTCAATGTAATAAAATCCTTTCGTACGAAACCATCCTTTTTGCTAATGGTCCTTACCTTCCTTTTAAAATAGTCCAACAGTCCTACTATTTCAAGAATTTAAAGCGTCGTGCAGAAATAGTAAAAAAAATCTTTTAAATTGTTATTTTTCAGTATGGTTAGGTCAATGCAATTATAATGAATACGTTATAAGACACCCTGTACAGTCACACAGCTCCATCTAGTCCCATATCAAGCAATAAACTTATATTATGGGTACTAAACAAGTACTACACATTTGTTTTTTTGTAAATACATAGAAAACTACCAGACCAGTACAAAAAAACATATTCATGAATGT